CACAGTTCATAACTGTCCGCCGAGTAGGTTATTTCCTTACATCGGGCTAATTATGTGTAAGTGAGCATGCATGTTTACTTCGTTTAACTCTTAGCGACGATCGATGGCGCCGAGATTTCTGCGACGGATTTGGCGCCGACTGTGCTGCTGTGTTCAACCAGCTGCCGAGTGACGTGATGCTGAAAAGGTGCCGAGGTCAGGGAACGTGGATCTGGCTCGTTACCAGAAGCATCCCCTGCCCAGTAGGGAACCCCCTGCCGCCCCTCTCCCCTCCTCCGTAGCCTCGTCCCAACCTCCCCTCTACTGTACATAGTCGAGTAGCGTTTATAAGTACAGTCTTCTTCTTACTTTATTTTCTATTGACCGTTGCCGACTGTAGCCCATCGTGTGGAGGACGAGAGCACAATAAGTCAGTGGCGGGTGAAGAAAACCACTCATGGAAGTATATCCCACTATTTTAGATAGAGCTGTGGAAGGAAAATCTGTCTAAACTAAAGAGTCCTTGTGGGCGACCTCACCTAATCGCCGGCGCTCTGGAGAAATAGCCATTTAGCATATAATTATAGGCAGCGACGGGTTCCAAATATGCTTGCAGATAAGCACTGCATTCATCTGCGTGTACTACCAGCCGCTGTGCGGCCGCTTGTGGAGTTCGAGACGGAGGCCAAACGGGACGAATGAGTCTCGTAACCGATCTGTGTGCGTCCCTCTACCAATGGAAAGTAGGTAACTTAAATCCTGAGGATAACAACAGCTGACTGAAATAAACAGGTAGGGGGCGCCGGGACTTCCGGAGCGGGCTTAAAGTTATCGATTAACATCTGGGAAAAACAGTAGGTACTTTTATTTATTACCGGTTCACAGGTAATTTTAAAAAATTGCGTTAATTGGTAAAGCACCTCTTGGGCGCCTTCCATAACCTCGAAGACAGGAAAAAACCCAAAACAAACTCCCTCTTTTGCAGTCAGTATTGGTTTTAGTTTAGTTTTGTGATTGCTCAATGGTGGGCGAAATAGGGAGTTTGTTTCAAGTGAAAAAAAAACTGACTCCAAAGGTACGATACTAAAGAAGGATGTGTAGTTATATATCGAGTTGACAGTGTAGCAGAAAAAAATGCTGTACAATGAAAACCCAAGTTTTACTCAAGTTAGAACACACACCTCACATGCCCTCTTTCTGGAAGTCTGTCCCCTTTGGTGATGTGAAATCACTGGTAAGTCCATGCACACGTATAACCTTAACGTTAAAATATGGAAACCACCTTCTCTAAAGTACTGCTACTACCATTACCTTCACGCCTACTAATAATACTAATGATAATAATAATCTGGAATCGGCTAGTAAGCATCTATCCAGGGCCGAGTTGGACTCAGGAGGTCAGTGATCCATCGATTAGAAAGAAGTATATAACCTTGCGGACTTGATCCTGGTGTGTATGTGTATACGAGAGTTTTCACGCTTCCACTTACAGGACAGCAGGCGAGTAAATTATGCCTTTTTGGACACCAGACCACAGAGGTTGTGATGATGAGCCCAGAATAGGCCCTCACAGTGTGCAACACTAAGTGAGCGAAGTGAGACTTGGACCAAGAGACAGGTTTCGGAGTCCATTGAATTACCTTACTAAAATTTTCTTCTAGGAGGAAGCACAAGGAGCTGAAGGATACCTTATCTGTATGAGGTATACAAGCCCCCCTCCCGGGCATTAAAGGTTATAGGCCGCTTGAAAGAAAGGAGAGCCACCACACTATGCGCCAAGAAGGTACTGTTTGTGTTATTGCTAAGCCACGGGCCTGTGAAAGTATGCCGACACGCCCACCTTTTAAAAAGGGACGGGTAAAGAGAAGTTGCAAAAAGTGGGTCTTTGTACCAGTACAAAAAAACATGGAAACAAATGAATTGAAAAGGGGACAAAAAGAATCTGAGCTTTAGTAAATGCAAAAAAATTAGCGTATACAGACAGGGGACGGTGGTTACGACAGGCTGGCGTGCAGGAGTCAGTGATCGGACCGGCCCGTGCAGCATCACTTGTCTCTGCGGAAGATGGTCCCCCCCCTATACAGTGGTAGGCAATTCAGTCCGTGAGACCCAAATGGTAGGAAACTCGTGGATGACAAAACTGTCATAGGTAAGCACCTCAGCTAGGGTGGTGTTGGGAAAGAGCTCGTGTTTGGGGTAAGTCCTACCTCGGCCCGATTCCTGCCTCCCTCCCTCACATTGGATGTAGAAGTAAAAGGAAGACGAGGAATCGGCCGGGTTCAGGGAGGAAGGAGTAGAGAGGAGCCAGCTGACTACTGCTCCCGCTGGTGCCACCTTGCTTGTGACAAGGTTCTCTTGTTCATTGGAGGAGAGATCAGTGACCTTGCTGCGCCAGATGGTCTCCAGGGACGAATCTGGGTGGCATGAGTGTACGAGAATGTGCAGAGGACTGAGTGCGTCATCACACCAGCGCAGATCATCGCGCAGGCAGGCACGATTTCCGCCTTCTGGATGGGAGGAGCTGGGGAGGAGACAGAACTCTAGGGTCCACATGATGGTGGGCGGTGTCGGGACTGAGGGGTCGCTACTATTACTGACATAAGTTTTATTCATGCGCGCACGTTTGAGCAGGGGAGTCAGAGCACGGAAGTCAATGCCCAAAGAGCGTGCGAGGACAGCGAGCTTTGACTGGCCCGGTTGTGGTCGGCGATACGATTGGCGGAGCTGATAAAAGTAACAATAAGAAAAAAGAGTAATGAGAATCACATTCGGCTAGAGTACCTAACCAACGTATAGCCACTCTTCCTCGCAGAACACTATAAGACAAATTGTAATCACTGTTATAGTTGACGGACTGAGTCTACGGTAAGGGAGGCTACTTATGTGGATTAGTAATATTGGTCGGTATGTATAATTCGGTCAAACCAAGATGCCATCCCTTGAATGTTGGACCTTTCTGTTGCCCGCTAAAAATGTATACTCGAATAGCATGATTTTTTCCATTAACTGGAGATTTCCTTATATGTTCAAGTGTACTATATGCAATGTATGCAAAGAAATAGCACTTCTTGTGCTCATGTTCTTGAAAACTATATTTTCTTCAAGGGTTTGACTCGATTGACATCTTTCAGCTTTAAAAACTCTGTAATTATGATATGTTTACGATTTTGAAGTGCCTATTTAAATAACATCGTATTCGTACATTTATGAATGCTCCTTATGAAGTATACATGTACAAACGCATTACCAACAAAGACCAGGGAGACTGGGATGGCTATTTCTGACTTATAATCTATCATCAGCCA